ATCCGGTTTTTAAACCATTGCAATAATGCATTGAGAAAGGGGCTAGCATTGCTTTCTAAAAATAATAATTCTAACTATAATGACCGTAAAAGCTAATTGAAAAAAGTTTATATGAGGTTGTAACCTAGAATCAAATATGCACCTCAAAAATCATGGATAAAAATTATTTTAATGTTGAAAAACCCTCTAACTGCTCAAAAATCTTACTAGAAGAAGTTGTTTTGACGCTCAAATATCCTCAAATTGATCATTTCTACATCAAGATGCATGTAGATGAAAAAAAAACAGATTTCAAGTTTTGAAAATAGTGCATCTTATCACGCAGGATTTTTTATTTTTCATAGATCTACTCGATGTAAACTATTTTTGAAATTTAAATTTTATGATTAAATATGAAAATATATTTTAAAGCGTTCACAAAGATTTACAATATTGAAACCATATTTCTTTGTAAGATTTGAAGGTAGGTTCTAATTTTATTGTTTAGAGCCTCAGCTCTATACAAACTGCACCCTTAAAAAAAAAGAAAAAGCTTATATAGAGCCGAGGCTCTAAACAATCAAATTAGAGCCTACCTTAAAGCTTTTACTAGAAGATATTGTTTTGATGCTCAAATATCCTCAAATTGATCATCTCGACATCAAGATGCATGGACATGAGAAAAAAATGGATTTCAAGTTTATAGAAATAGCGCATCTTGTAATGCATTTTTGGACGGTCAATCTCAAGTTCTCATAGATCTACTCGATCTATACTATTTTTGGAGCTTTAAATTTTATAATTAAAGATAAAAAAATATTTTTAAGGCTATCACAAAGATTTCTAGTATTGAAACTACATTTCTCGATACTATTTGAAGGTGTGCTTTACTTTGATTATTTAGAGCCTCGGCTTTATGAAACCGCACCCTTAAAAAAAAGGGATTGTACACCATAAGTATATGGGTGCGGTTTGTATAGAGCCTAGACTCTAAACAATCAAATTAGAACCTACCTTCAAATAGTATCAAGAAATGTGGTTTCAGTACTGGAAATCATTGTGATAGCCTTAAAATTAATTTTCATATTTATTTATAAAGTTTAAAACTTAAAAAATAGTGTAGATCAATAGATCTATGAAAATTTGAAAATCTTGAAAATTGACGATAAAAAAATGCGTTACAAAATACACTATTTTCAAAACTTGAAATCCATTTTTTTTCTCATATCCATGTATCTTGATGTCGAGATGATTAATTTAAAGATATTTGGGCATCAAAATAACCTCTTCTAGTAAAAATTTTGAGATAGGCTCAAATTTGATTGCTTAGAGCCTCGACTCTATATAAACTTTTCCCTACGAATATTCACCTTGATTACAAGGTGCTCACAATTACTTACAACCATATGATGTGAAATTTAATAGATTGGATATGCCTCAAAGTTCGAAAAAAAATTTCTTTTGAAGTTTGAGTTTGGTTAATGGAATAATTGCATCCACCTAATTTTACATCTAATAGTCACTATTAATTTGACCACCTTATACCAAAGATAAATGTTCATTCTATACTTTCCCTTAAAAAAAAAAAAAGTTTATATAAAGTATAACCTTATACTAGAAGTGAGCAGTACCTCAAAAATCCATGGGAATCGATTGTTTTGACATAGAAAAATCCACTGTCATCTCCATATCAAGATATATAGCTATGAAAATAAAAAGAGTTATAAGTCTTAAAAAGCATGTATCTTGTAATATATTGTTTGGACCGTCCCTTTTCAAGACTTTTAAATACTTTTATAATTGTCGGATCCATTCAGCAGGGACTTTTAGGTCATCACGAGTTTTCGGCCCCACATTGTTCACCAACGTTTGGAGTTGGGCCTTACTTTGATTGTTTACATGTGTGGTTTATATAAAACCCACGCTCTAAACGATTCGAGTAAAGTAGACTTTCAAATAGTATTCAGAAATAGTTTCAAAATTGAAAATCTTTATGATAAACTTAAAATATATGCTTATCTTTAATTATAAAATTTAAAGTTTTATAATTAGTGTAGATCAAGCAGATCTAAGAAAATATGAAAATCTTGAAAATTAACGGTCCAAAAATTCATTAGAAGATGCACTATTTTCAAAACTTGAAATCTATTTTTTTTTCATGTCCATACATCTTGATGTTGAGATGATCAATTTGAGGATATATGGGCATCAAAACAACCTCTTCTAGTAAAATTTTGAGGTAGGGTCTAATTTGATTATTTAGAGTCTCGGCTCCATATAAACGTTTTTCTTTTGGAAAAGGTGTAAATGGTGATTACAATTTATGCTTTATTTCTGTCACATCTATTTTTTTATTATATATTTCGATTTGAAGTATTTCCCTTGAGAATATCCTATGGCTTCCTATTTATGACTCTATGCAGAGAAACCTAAGGCATTAACATTGCAGAGATCAGCCCAAATCACTAAAGATTTTAGCTATTTTAGAGAGAGAAACAGAAAAACCAGTGAAGAATTACATACAGTTTCCTGTCATAGAATAGAAGATACACAGAGAAATATTTCTCATAGATGTCTTGGATCAGCTCTTCATTATGTTTCTCTCCCATCTCTTCATAGACACAACTTTCCGCAAGATTTTCAGAAGGTCTCCACTGGTTAACATTTCTTCTTCTCTCACCATGCCCACAATTCGCTATAGTCTCCTCTGTACATTTCATTTTCCTGATGACCCATCATGTCTTCTCTTGCATAAAATCTTTTCCAGACGAACCCACATACCACTTTCCTCCACTAAATCTGTTATTCCATTCTCTCACTTTGGATCTTTCCCTCGAGAAATGTCGATAATTCATGTAAACTGGTGCTTGGGGTCCTTTGGTTGATCCTATCGATCAGTTATCTAGCATTTCTTATCATCCTCTTGCATGAGAAGAGGTTTGATTCGACAGTTCATCCATTGTCAATTTGAATTTGGTGGTTCTTGAGCTTTCTGCTTGCCGTTTTCCTCTCTATCTCAGCAGTCAACAGATTAGTCCTCCATAGCCCAAACCATAATCGAGAGCTATGGGGTGGAGACATATTAACACTTGTATCCCTACTTGTTAATACTTTTCTCTGTCCCATTGCCATTAAAGGATCCACGGTCTAATTCTTGTGGAAAGATTGAAAGAAGCAGAGAGAGAGAGATGAAACTGAGAGAGCCTCTTTTATCAGAAGCTGACATCATTGATAAAAGGATTAGTACCACATTTACTCCTTATAACTCAGCTGGGTTTCTCTCTAGAGCTACGTGGACATGGATGAATGGATTGTTAAAGGAGGGCTATGAATCTCCATTCAAATTTGAAGATGTGCCTGGTCTTGCATCATCAGATTCTGCAGAATCCATGTACAAGCGCTTCGAATCGAACTTGCCCAAAAATGACTCTGAAAACCAGTAAGTTCTACCTTGCTCAAATGCTTTTGGACCTACTCTTCTGCTTTTTGGAAAATAGAGAGGGTTGGTCCAATGTTCGCACTATTGGACTGACATCTGGGTGAAAAAACCGACCCATACAATAAGAATATATGAGATTGTTTTTATTATTGAATAATATTTTTCTGTAATTTTTTTTGATATTAATAATAATAATAACTATTATACTTATGAAATTATTCCTTATTTCTTTGGTGAGGTGAGGGTGAGGGTGAGGGTGAGGGTGAGTGGGAGCACTGCATATGGAGCGCAAAGTGCATGGATAAAAAATGGGACCATGGAAGGGAACATACTATTTGGTCAGCCGATGGATGGTGAGAGGTAGAAGGAGGTGATTAGGGTTTGTTGCCTGGACACAGACTTGGAGATGCTGGAATTTGGAGATACGACTGAGATTGGTGAACGCGGGATCAATCTGGGTGGAGGCCAAAAGCAAAGAATTCAGCTGTATACCAGGACTCGGACATCTATCTCCTTGATGACATCTTTAGTGCTTTTGATGCTCACACTGGTTCACAAATCTTCATGGTCTATTCATTTGAACTTATTTATTTCCTTGATCTTGTGTGTTTGTTTTTTATTGCATTTTATTTATTTATTTTTTTTTGATAAAATTTAGAAGAAATTTATGCTAAGACCAGCCAAATTAGAGTTATTAAATAAATCTTCTTCAATTTTTTAATTTTATGTGTGTACCCTGATTATATAAAGTCAAATGTGACTCACCATAACTTAGGATCTGAGCTACATTTGACTTTAAATATTGAAGATTTGAAGTCGAGTCCCTATTTACAAACCACAAGTGACTTTGGATATTCAAAATCTGAAGTCAAATATCATTTTGGATCTTGAAGATACTAAGTTGTATTTGATTTTGTATATAAGGCCGTGACTCCCTATACCCTTTTTTACTGTTCATATTTTGCTACCTAAACTACCCTTCATGGCGCTAATACAACCGTGAAGCTCATCACGGTCCTATTAGGTGCAGGATGCTCATAAACACCCATAAGTATTTAATTATTATGGTTCTAAGAGAACCGTGATGTATTTTTATGAAGCTTTAAGCATCACGGTGCTAAAAGAACTGTAATGATTGTGAAAGGAAAGTATAATCAATAATTACGAGAAAGGTAGGATATTGCATCCTGTATTTTATAGTAAGTCTGGGTATAGTTTAGGTGTCTATGATTTAGTTTCTATTAGTGTCTATAAAAAACAAGGATGTATATTCATATGATTAATGAATTAAGTGAAATATATCTTCAATTTTATGACCTATTGTGTATTTCATTTAGCTTCATTCTAAATGATCTCTGTCTCTCTCGCTCTCGTGGAAAAAAAGAAAATCACTCTCTCATGGAAAAATAAAATAAAAATCCTTGTCTTTATCTAGCCTCCTCCGGGTCTTCAATTTTTTCTTTTCAAATTTTATTTAGTCAGGTATTTTATTTATTGGGAAAAGTTTATAGAAGAGGTTGTTTTGAAAATAGTGAATTTTGTAACGCATTTTTGGACCGTTAATTTTCAAGATTTTCAAGTTTTCATAGATCTATCCATCTACATTATTTTATGAAGCTTTAAACTTTATTAATATAAGTGAAAATATATTTTAAGGCTGTCACAATGATTTTCAGTATTGAAACCATATTTCTCGATACTATTTGAAGGTAGATTCTAATTTAATTGGTTAGCGCCTAGGCTCTATACAAATTGCACCCTTATTTATTTATTTTTAATTGTTGATAATTCTTCAAAAATTTTAGGTCTTTAACATTTTATGACCCTTAACCATGTGCCATTGCTTTTCCCTTGGCCCCATAGTGGTTGATAATGGCGAAAACTGGCGTGTGGGTCCGTGGGAGCTTCTTTGCTTAGGGCGAGTCATGCTCAAGAAAAACCGCATTTTATTCCTCGATGAGGCAACGGCCTCTGTTGACACACACGGATGGGATCATCCAAAGGATCATTAGAGAAGATTTTGCAGAATGTACCATCACCATCATCAGCATCGACTGTGGGTTTTTACAGTTTTAATGGAGGAACGTGGCATGTTGGTTCTTTTTGAAAATATTTTTATGCATGAGAAGACAAGATGGATCACCAGGAAAATGAGATGTACGGAGGAGACTAGAGCGAATTGTGGGCATGGTGAGAGAACAAGAAATCTTAACCAGTGGAGAGCTTCTGAAGATCCTGTGAAAAGTGGTGGCTCTGAAGAGAAGGGAGAGACATAATGAAAAGCTGATCCAAAACATCTATGAGATATATTTCTCTATGTATCTACTAGTCTATGACATGAAACTGTATGAATTCTTCACTGGTTTCTCTGTTCCTCTTTCTAAATACCTGAAATCTTTAGTAATTTGTGACAAGTGGTTTGGGCTGATCTCTGCATTGTATATGCCTTAGATGTCTCTGCACAGAGGCATAAATAGGAAGCCATAGGACAGTCTCATGGGAAATACTTCAAATCGAAATATATAATAAAGAAATAGATGTGAGAGAAATAAAGCATAAGCAAACCTTAAATAATAATCACCATTTCGACCTTTTCCAAAAGGGAGTGGTTTATATAAGTCACCCCAACTTAAACAATCAAAGTAAGGCCCAAGCTCCAAACCTTGCTGAACAATGCGATGCCAAAAACTCTTGTGATCGCATGAAAGTCTGTTACCCCTCTCCCTAATTACGAAATTTAAACCTCGAAATGGATTGGACAAATTTATGAGCACTTGAAAATGGACTTTCTATATCAATGTTTAAAAAATCGACAATTTGATCTAGAATTAGGCAATCTGAATCAAGTATCGGCCAGTTCGTTCTAGATCCGGCCACAAAATGGAATTCAACCATGATTTTTTAACTGAGATTTGGTAAACATGACGTCATGAATTACGTGAATCGCCGAGTGCGACTATCAATCATTGAATGTAACTTATTAAAGCAGAGAACCGTATGATGATGTCACACAACGGTGCTTTAACGTCACATATCGAACACGCCACCAACCATGTTGATTTAACTTTTTTTTAATTTGAAAACTTATTAACGCAGAGAACCGTATGATGATGTCACACAACGGTGCCTTAACGTCACATATCGAACATGCCACCAACTCTATAAATTTGACTAATTTTTTTATTTGAAAAATCCTTTAATAAAGCACGCCACACCACGTGGGTACACCAAACTTTGTAGATTTGATTTTTATTTTTCTATTTGAAAAATCCCACGTCACCAACTTGATTCGACCTTATTTGTTATTTGAAAAACCCTCAAGTAAAGCCAACCACACCACACCACGGAACACCAAACTCTGTAGTTTTGACTTTTTTTTTTATATGAAAATCCTCACACGCCACGTGGGTACACCAACTCTTTAGATTTGACCTTTTTTTTATTAAAAAAATCTTAAGTAAAAGCATGCCACGCCACATGGGTACCCTAATCCCACTGCGGGCCAGCCCCATCATGGCAACACGACGCCTCACGCATGTCAGGCTTTTGCCCTTAAACCACTCTTATATTTGTGCCTTCTAAAAATCTTTGATGTGGGACTATTTGTTGTCCCTAAAGCAAAAGGACGTTTAAAATAGTGGGTTTGTCTTGTAACGTGCATATAACTTTGATGTGGGACTATTCGATGTGGGAATTTATTTCAAGTTGTTTTATCAATTATGCCACATTGTAAATATGAATTTTTTTATTTATTTTTTTAATTTTATTAAAATATGATTGTAAATTTATGTTACTAAACTCTATATCTCTATCAACACTAATTATTATACATTAGATTTATTTATTTGTGAAGGTCATACCCTTGTTTTTTGAATCATGTTTATTATAATATTATAATTAATAATTATACTAATTACAATGGTAATCAAATATTTTATTTTATTTATTAATTTATTTACAATATAAATTATGCAATGTATTATTTTTTGTTATAGTTGTAAATTACATTTTTAAATTAGATGATATTATAAAATAAATTTCAAATTTATTCTTATTTATGTAGTAAAATGATGATAAAATAATAAAATACAAACCAATAATTCTAATTTCAATGTATAATATTATATTTGGTTAGGTTTTAATAAATGTTTGATGAGAATTTTCATACAGAGAAAGAACATCTCAATATTCGTATATTGATGCAAAAAAATAGAAGTTATTAATGTAGTACCCTCATTTCTTATTGAATTCCTAAAAAACAACAATTATTGATTTTCAATAAGTTTTTGAATTTTTTTTTAAGGCCGAATCCGACCGGTTCAAAATCTGAAACGTCAATTCACCGATCCGGATGGGTTTTTGGTGCTCAATCCGGGAGTACCAATCCGTTTTGTAAACCATTGGTCCAAATTATGTATTACAATTTAAGACTTATAACTTCTTTTATTTTCATATCTATGTGTCTTGAGGTTGAGATGATCGAGGATTTTCTTGCATTGAAATAATTGTTTTTAGAGGGTTTTTCAGGTACAGGTCACCTCTAATATCTTATATAAACTCTGATATCTTATATAAACTCTTTTCTTAAAGGACAATTGTTTCATGCGGGCTCGACTGCATTTCTACATATGCGGTCCAGAAGTGTAAAGCATACATCTTAAAGATAGATGCAAGTCAGAAGTCCATCCAAAAACAATGGAAACTTACAATCCAAATGTTTTCTTAATAGAATTGCTATTTTTAGTTTTTAAATTTATTTATTTTTTCATATTCATGATCTCTATACGAGAAATTACATGTCCTTAAAAATTAAGTCAAAAAAATCCATCTCAAAAATAAATTTTTAAGAGGCAGGTTAGCCCGCATGCTAACGGCGTCCTTTCTCAAAAGACCACACAAAACAAAGGCAAGACTATATTATAGTTCAGTGGCCAATGGTAAAGCTATAGCTCATTCATCGTCGTCGCATAATGGAATAATGGATGTTGATGGAGCGAGTGGAGTTCATTAGAATAAGTCATCTGTCCCACTCTCTTCCCATCACCGTCCATCATTGACTGCATGATGATTCAATCAGGACTATCAGTTGGATTATAGTATAAAGCTATAAGCATGGAATCGAACATTTCTTCCAAAACAAACACGGAAAATACTCCAAACATGGGGGTAGTGCCTCAAAACCCAGATCAGTCCAAATCTGAGATCTAAAAAAGTAAAAATAAAAACGAATTCTTGGGGTGGGGGGATTTAGGAGGGAACTAAAAAAACATTAAGATAAGTTTAAGAAAAAACAAAAAAAGGAGGTTTTTAGTAGGATAGGGCTGGTGATACCTTCTTTAAAAAGTATTCAATTCCAGCTGATTCTCGATCTAGAACTACAATTCACTTTTCTTTCTTGAATTGTTCTTTCAGCACATGGACATGGCTAAAGATTTGATGCGTGAAATTTGTCAAACCATTCAAAAAAGGCCACTTTTTTTTTTATATATATAAAGTATCAATTTTAAACAATTAAAATAAGGTGCACTTTCAAATCTTGTTAAAAGATACAATTTTGGTGTCCAAAATCTTTACAATAGTATGAAATCTACCTTCACTTGCTCCTAAATTGAATAATACATATTGGGCAGATCTATAAACACTTGAAAATATTAAAAATTGATGGTCCAAATAATATGTTACAAAATCTACAATTTTTAGGACTTGAAAACAATTTTCTCTTCATATTCATTCATTCTGGAGATGAGATGATCAATTAGAGGTTCTTTTTATGCCTGAAAGACTATTTGCATTGTATAAACTTCTAAATTTTGAAAAACAATGACACTTCCAATTTTTTTTTTTTTTTACCATCTTCAATTATTTTCTATGGTCCAATAGAATGGGATGAATTGGATGAAACATCATAATAATAATTTTATATTTTTATTACATGCTTCATAATAATTTTATATTTTAGAAATGGCCATTATGCACATTATAGTGCTATTTGTCCATGTTGGAAGTGGTTAAGAGATTTCATGTTTCCAAACATGGAATTAGTCGTTTTCTAAAGACAACAATTGCTCTCTACTAATGAAAGTTAATGTGTATAAAGGCTTTTGAAGCAAATTCGTCAAGAGAGGGAAAGATGACGAAAGAAAGATGGCAAATTGAAAACTATAGTTTTTTTAGACCACTTGCTTTTTGTATAAGGAGGTCACAACTATTTCCACTCATTAGATGTCAAATTGAATGGCTTGGCATGAGTCGCTAAGTCCGATAGTTTGTTATTTTTGTGATTTTGTGTCTAATCAGTAACACTTTTACAATCATTCACGTTGAAATCTAAGGGTCAAGAATAATTGTGATTACAAATGGTAAACGGTCTCTCTATGGACAATCACATGTGTTATTCTTGTCCTTTTATGAAATTGCTTGCCAGGCGATACTTAAATTTACTGTTATATGGGCTTCCTACCTTAGGGGTCATATGCCTACCAGAGCATGCTCATGGGAAATTGTTATGGCTCGTTGGAAAAAGTTGCACACTAGGGCACTTTGGTTCGTGGAAAATGTTTTTTGAAAAATATTTTTATTTGAAATTTTTTTCATATAGTTAGGTTCCATTTTCATACGCTTAAAAAGATCCATTGGAATCAATTGGTGTAGAACCAATTAGTATGAAAATATTCTTAGATTTAACCATATGAGAGAATTCTTTCATATGAAAATATCCACATCTAACCGCATGAGAGAATACTTTCTAGTGAAAATATCTTTCAAAAAATATATTCAAAATAAAACAAACACGCCTTAACAAAACTTAGGCATGGGGGTGCTACCACCACGAGTCCACGACATCACATTGTTACTTTCTAAGCAAATTCAATACCTTTTTAAAGCAAATGATGAGGGCGTTAATATTTGCAATTGTTGGTCAATGAGCGATCAAAATGCAACGAACATGAGAGAAATAGAGGTAAAAAGAACCATAAAAAATGGCATATAGGGGTTAGTAAAAGTGAAAAAGATCTCTATTTTTTAGCCTTTTATTTTTGAGATTAGGGGCATTAATCCCAAATTTTTTTTACCAATATGTAAAATCAATGAGAGGATAACAAAATGAGGCAGATTTCTTGAAAATCAGATTGAAAACTAGAGAAAATCTCAATCGGGTCTCAACAATAAAGGAAAAAATAAATCATAAATTCGATCCAAAAATTTCTTGGCTTTTGATAGAAAATAACTGGGGTTATTATAGATCCATAAAAAAGCAATAAATTAGGACAAATTGAAGAGATTTTGACAATAAATAAGATATAAATAAAGATTTTTCTAAATTTGGTTGTTAGAAAAAATTAAAAATAAAAAGCTTGACTCGCTTGATTTCA